CAAATCTTCTAATTCTTTAATTCTTATCAACAATTTCCTGACAATACATTCATTAGGAACACATATGACTGTTGAAGCAGTCTGGATTTCAGCTTCTATCACAGAATCTTGGTGTTCCATGCATGGAAAGCAATAGCTTAGTCACAACAGATCTGCAATGGAGGAAAGTAGCCTAAGGAAACACGGAAAGGGGAGGTAGTGAATTTAATACATGTGACACTGAATAATAAAGCATCATCCTAAGAATCCTCAGAGGAAGAATATTCCCAGGATTAAAAATAAGGTATTTAAGAATTAAATATATAGAATAAATATAAAATTAATATAAAAATATAAATAAATAAATTTATAATAAACATAAAATTATAAAATTAAATATATAAAAATTAAATAATTAAGAATTTGACAGGAAGAGGATCCACAAGTTGCATAGATTTTACCCGATCTTAGCACTGATGCTGCCTTCAGATGAATTTTCTTCAGGAAAAAGTTCTACAGATTGCATGTATCAAGTAGAAAAGCTTTTAAATTTCTTTCAAAACATAGATTAATGCTTTACTTATACATGTAAATGAACAGATTCACATCTGCAGCTGCTAAGAGCCTCCCTCCCCCCCAAAACAAACAAACTAACTATAGCTGATAATTTAAATTATTAAGGGGCTAAAGAGAGTTGGAAATTAGTGTAACCATCCTAACATGAAGATGCTGGTAAAATGGTATTTATTATTCTACCATCAGTTTGTTCCACAGCCTTTTACTCATGTATTTTATCCTTATCACCTTATCTACAGTAATTGCACTTTGGATTTGTGACGTATTTCTGTGTTTTATTATATATAATAAAAGTCAGACTGTAATCATCAGGTGATTAGAAAGAACAGCTGCAACCACTACTCAGATGAGCAACTAGAGCCACTCCAAGTACAGGGAGAGAGCAAGTTTAATACATGTTCTTGATGGAAATAAGATTCTTTGCCTTCCCTTTCCTATTTCAGCCTTGCATTGTAATGCTCCAACGTACAACCAACTCACATCATCAGACTTCCCTTCTAGGGCAATTGTAACATCTATGTTCTTGCTGGAAGAAAGCTAAATCAGTCTTCCTGTCACAGAGGAGTTCATCATAAAGCTGTTATCACTTTCTGTTCTTATTGACAGAAAGCAACAAACTTGAACAAGAAGCAACAGCTGAGCAAAAGTCAGTTTTTGGTCAAGAAGAGTTACGGCAGCTCCCTGGCAACAGGAGCTGTCTGGCACACAAGTCTAAAGGCTCTGTGATTAAAACAGGATTGAGGGGCTAGCATCATGAAAATAATCTGTCATATCAGCTACCACATCAACAGCAGAAAAACTGCATTTTTATTTTGGCAGAAAGGGCAGACATACAACCCAAATTTGCAATGCCTCCACTAGAAATTCACTGCCACTTCTATCATGTAAACAGTACTGCACAGAACACCCAAAAGTTGCATACTTCTCCTTTTTGTTTGGTTGGTTTGAAAGGGGATTTTTTTGCTTATAACATTTTTCTTTTACAAGTCATAACTGAAATCAAACAAAGTGTACAAAACTGAAATTACTGTAATATTGCAGAGATTTATATATCCCGACTGTCAACCAAATAACCTAAATCTTTTCTAGACATGTGCATAGATCTAGTTTTCAAATAAAGTGGAGTTTGTGCTCACTTTAGAAAGGACACAGTGAGATTCTTAATATTTTGTTCAAAGGAATGATGAAGTGCAAATGAAGTAGAAGCATTATAAAAAAAAAGGCAAAAAAACCCCCATTGATTGCTTTTAAAAGAATGCAAACATGATGTGCATGAATTTCAAGTACGTCACAATTTTAAAACCAGGATAAAAATCACCTGGTTAAAAACAGGCAAAAAACCAGAATTTTATTCTAAAACCCCTGTAATTTAAACTTACACAGCACTCATACTTAAGACTGTTGAGAACTAGCAGAATACGCACGTTAATACCAGTACAGGTAAGGCTAAGTCAGAAGGGCTGGCCTTAAACATAGAATTTGTTGTAATGCAAATTTGCTACATTAGTAAATACTGTAAGTTGAATGGCAAGTAAAAAACAGAGTGGGGAAAAAAAAAAAGCCATGCAGGATCACTTTGATTTGTATTCGGGAAAATATCTGAAGTAGAGGGTAGGCTGGTACCTGCAAAATATCTCTAAAATGTGATATTTGCTCTAGATGAAAAGACTTCACTGAATAGCTTGAAATGTCAGAACTGACTCTGAAGAAATCTGAATGTGGAGGTCAGATACAGGAAAAAACTTGCCATAGCTTCAGGATACATCTGCAACATTTTTTAGGTACCACTATTATGTATTCCTGTTATAGAGCTATGTTAAACAAAAAACACTTGTACAACAGAATATGTTTGAGTTTTATTTTTCTCCAAAGTATGAGCCATAGTTTGAATTACTATGAGATTTAAAAACTAAATCTAATTACATTATATTATTATAACCAAATCTAAAGCTAATTATCTGTATATACTGATATACTCCAGAATATTCTCTCATTGGCCCTGGGAGCTGACATTGCAGGGCACCACAGTCTACAGAGATGATGGAGAAAGTTCCGGCATTACCCAGAATGAGCAGCTTAAGAAACAGGTAGAGAGGCTGAAAACTGTGACAATGACCACAGCAGATAACTCATGAGGTTCCCTCATACACTACAGAAAGAAGAAAGTGATATCCTGATACACACTGTACGTTGCAGAGAAAGTCTAACATTTCCTAGCTGCAGTTTTTACTTAGTTTCGGTCATATTTCAGAGTTAAAGATAAAGAATTATAATAGATTAAACTTCATGTGATGTTTCACTCTGTCCTTTGTCATATAAACTTGGTTTTGGAGAAATCGTTGAGCCCTCTACATCAACAATACTGATTTGTGTGTTTGAAGATGGCAGAAACACAGTATAGTAATAAATACTGTGGGATGTAGTCAACAAAAAACCCTTAATTTTTCTACAAAAAGTATTGGAAGAAGTGTAAATAATTTTATTGGGAACTTTAAGCGGTAAGAAATGCAAGACATAACTCATAAACAGATATTATTCAGGTAACTGGTAACTTACTTGATCTGTGTAGAATTATTTTACATATTTAATCTGTGTTTTAGTTATTCCTTCAACTTATTAGTTATTTATACTTCCTTTACATCAAACAAGGTGCAATTTCTCTTCCTTTACTGAACTTACTACTGCAATTAAAGTTCAGAGGAATCCTAGAGGAATCCTGCTTAAAATCAAAAATATAAATCTTTTTCACAGAGAAATATAACTCTCTTTTTAATCTCCCAAGACAAAAAGCCCAGTATTTTTTCAGTAGGACATGTATAAGGAATTGCAGTCATACAACTTCCTGGTATCCCTGCACAAATATGAACACGATAAGATTATAACTGAGTGAAGATTATGAGTGACTTATTACTGTTTCTCAATTTGTCAGTCCTCTTTTATTTAGCACATTGTTTATTTAAAATAAATGTACTCCAATTAAAATACTATTCTAGTTATAATATTATAAAATATTTTAACTTATCTTACTTCTCTTTTTGCAAGTGGTCGAATGAGTCACCCTACCTGGGTTTTCTTTCACTTGCCACTTCACTCTGCTATATGCAAAGAAAAGAAAAAGCAAGCTAAGTTTTTACTTAAAAAAAGACTTTTTGTGCAAAGGGAGTGCACTCATTCAAGCAAACATACAGTTTCAGTGCTTAATATAGTACTGATATGGCCTTGGTAATTACTTCCTTTAGAATAATGAAAAAAAGGTATTTATCTGTCTGTTATGAACGCCTTCTCCCTAATCAAGGATAAGTGCAAAAATAACCCCTAAAAATTTCAAATTTGTTATCAAAAGTTGATACAAGATGTAAAACCAATGGAGTAACAGTTGACTAGAAAAACTGAAAACAAGAATCAAGTCAAGTGTGTATATGATGTATACAAAAATAAAAATCAAACCAGAAAAACAAAAAAACCCCAAAAAATTACTTTGAAACAATAATCTTGTGTGAAGTACGTGTCCAGGGATGCATCAAAGGAAAAATATGCCATTTAAATGACATATTTTATCTGCTACCTAATTTACTGCAGAGTCCAGACAATGTACCACTATTCACACATCAGGACTTTTTATGATGTGTTGCTGTGACGACGGACAGATACAGGATACAAGAGTTTAGGATCCCTCCTCTTTCACCCTCCCACAGGAAATGTACATGTCAGTCCCACTGCCTCACTAAACATCCAAAACTATCAACCACATGGCTTGGTTCAGAACTACATCTGTGCTGCTTGCTGCCTGTTATGTCACCACTGTTTCTCTCCCAAATTACAAAGCCTTCAGCTGACAAGCACGGAAGGAAACAGATTCCACAAGTCCTATGGAAACCTTTGCCAGTGACTGCACACGAAGATACTTACTGGAGTCAGGGGAAAAACAGTACCACTGAAGAATGTCAATTAGCACAGTACTTTAAGTGCTGTTTTTCACAGATAACTTGACAATTTAAGGCCATTAAAATGCTGTAGAGTAGAGGGTGTGGGTGTCTTAAACAGCAGTGTAGTACTTTGTGTCATGACCTGAATTCTGCTTCAGGTAACTTACCAAAATCTACCCTGTAAAAATTAGACATTCATAATCCTAACATTCTGTCAAGAATATTTTCCCAGATGTCAAAACTTTTACTTGAGATTAAATATATCACATTTTTGCGTTGCAATGTATCTATGGCCTAGATACTGAATGCAGAAGTAAAAATAAGAGCACCCCAGAGCTTTCAAGCATGAAAACCTCCTCTAGCACTATAAAAGAAAATCATAAACCAATACTTTAAAAGATGCATTTTATAAATAAATTAACATGCAAATGTTGATTTTTGCAAAACTCAAGCAATATTTTTCTTCATCTCAAATCACCTCCTTTCAGAATTTCCTAAGTGAAAGGGAAAGTAACTTACTTGCAAATATCATCTTCTGGGTCCTCAAGCCCAAATCTTTCATCGAAAGTAAGTTGTATCCACACATTTTCATCAAGTGCCACTAATCTCCACACTAGCACAGTGTTGCGTGGGTATGTGTGTGGAAACTTGGGGCTGTGAATACTCCCATTAGTAGTCACAGTAATTATCTTCTCATGGTGAGGGTCCTGCACACCTACAGGAAGGACAGAAAAGAGAGGCATCAGTACCCACTCCTCCTTTTCCCAGAGTGTTGGTATAGTATACACAGACAAAGAAGCTTTTGTTTTGTTTGCTTTTCTTCATCTGGCAAGAATTTCTGCTTGAAAAGTCCATATAATAACAGTAACACTAAAGTTTTTCTAAAACCTGTATACTGTCAGATTGATATTTTACTCAGTAAATTACAGGAATTCTCAGAGGTAGCTATTAATAAATTTTGTAACAAGGTGGTAGCTTTATAATGGAGGTTTTATGTTACTTTCTTTTCAGCTATTAATTGTTTTTTTCAGATAGATATTTTACCTTCTTTTTCTGACTTTATAAGCAGCATTCTGATGAACATTCATTTGAATTTATAAAAGACATACGTACTTCAGTCTACTATGAAAATACACACTACAACTGCACCTTAATATAGCCACATATAAAGGTCAACAGCTGAATGGATGAAGTGCAAGAAAAGAAGGCCACAGACACTGCCCTGGTATCTTAAAAGAATCAATCTATATTTAAATATAATTTAAAGTCTGACAAACTTTTGCCTTCTCTTCTTCTGGACTTATGCCTTCAACTTGCAGTATGAAAATGGCAAATGTTCTTTTTAGTAGAATGGCTGCTTATATCAAACTAATGGAGTGTGGTCTTGCCAACATCCACACACACTTGCAAAGGACTGACTGCAGTAAGAGAGGACAGCATGCAGTAATAAGAAAAAAAGGCACAAAACCAGAATTCCTAATTTAGATACTTCATTGGGTTTTTGTTAGCTGAGTCACAAACATTTTTCTATAATGTACAGTCTGTCAGCTGAGAGCTGCATGCTAAACACGGGAGCCAAAAATAATACAAATTACTTTCCCAGAGATCAGTGCACCCGAGTGCTATTTCCAAAGCATTCAAAGGACCACCATTTCAGATAAATATGTCAAAGTGTGGTATCTGATGACACTATACTTAGTGGTATGTTTTGTCTTTAAAAACACTAAAAGGATTACAAACCATGATGTATTTCACAACATACTAAAAAGTGCTTTCTTTTGCATCATCAAGGCACTGATAATAGCAGCACTGCAAGTGCTATGTAAATAGTCCAGGCATATCAAATGAGAAGTCAATAAAAAGGGGAAAGGAATGAACTCACTACTTACTCACTCACTGCATCTCCTGTACCTTCAAGTTCCCCCATTTTTAATGGAAAAATATCTATTTGCTTTACATACAAGTGTTACATGAACATATCAAATTCCCACACAGACCACTCACTCCATTTCAAATATTTGCTTTTGCACAGTGGAATTTCATCTCTAACAAAAGAATTATTTTGTATGACTACAAAGGCAAGTTATGGCTGTCATTAGAGAATGAAGATTGTTATTTCTCTTCAGAAAAGCTGCAATATTCCTTTTTATCTGTTCTACAGAATTTGTACCAGTGTACCTCAAAATTGTAGTCTTTTTCTGCTGAGTTCATGCATGGTCTGAAAATTGGTTTTTTTGTGTGACTGTGTGAAAACCACAGCTACCTGTGAATGGCTAAGATGAGACCATGATTTTTGTTCTTTGTGAAATGACTTTGCAATTCCTGGCTTTATTTTAGGTATAAATGAGTCCAAGTTACACTAAAAAGGCAGTAACAAGCTCACTCAGATTTATAGCAGTCATCTGTAGAACTCCAAATCTATATATATATATATAGCTGCTGTGGGCTGTCTGTCTTTCTATAAACAACCATCCGCCCTACCCTCATCTTGATGTCCCTCCACTGTCCAAAAAAAAAAAAAAAGGGAAAAAATAGAAAAAAATATTACTGTGCAAACAGCTTTGAAAAACTCTGAAGCATCAGTTTAGGCAAGAACTGAGGTAGACAAAGAGACAAGGTACCATCTCAGCCAGAACACAACTGGGAAAATGGGGACAGACAAGGACCAAAAACATGTATTTGTATCTTCAGTAAAAAGCTTCAACAGCTGAAGAGCAACTGAGATCATCTTCAGGAGAAAGTCCTGGAAATGAGTCAAACTAGACAGGAAAAATCCCTGAGCTGACCTAGAGATATGACATGGTTACACTTATTAGGAAAGGACGGCACACGCTTAACATAGCCTGAAGTTGAAGAATGAGTGGCCGCGGTCGTCTTTGATGTGGTACAAGATGCTATCACCAGATTTATATATCCTTCAGTGCGGAAAGTCTGCCCCTGAAAATTACAAGATTCCAGGCATTCTGAAAGCACAGCAGTGCCTAACCCTTCCACCGATGTAGTAAAGCAGATGAAAAACCACAGTATCACCAAACAGATCAGTAGATGCCACTGTAAACTGAAATTAAACCCACCGACTAGACAAGCTCATTCCTGCCTACTTCAAAGTAAGTCTCTTCCCCCATGGGCACAACACATTTCACAAAGATCAGCGCTGACACTTTTTAAATATAGCAAATACCTCTTTCTTAGTACATTGTAATCCCTACATTTTAGCAAGGGTCATGGCTAAAACTCGGACAAATTGCATGCAGTTCAGGAGACAGAAGAGGAACCGCAGAAGAAGAGAGGAGCACCACGGGTGGAATAATGACCTCGGCACTGATTCACTTAACAGGTCACACAGTACTGGAAAAATTAGTTTTTAAATCCTTTTGCTAAAACTACACTTTTTCCACAACAGGACAACAGTACTGCTAATCATACAGTCTTAATATATATTATCTGGTTAATTTCATCTGATAGCCCTAAATTATGAAAAACAACTTTTAGGCCTTCAGAAAGAATATTAGCTAATGTGTGGCTATCACTGCTTCAAAAAAAATAAAGCCAAATCCAAAGATAAAAAAAATCTGAACTCCAAATATTTACCAATAAACAAAAAATTTTCAGACATACAGCAGTGTTGCAGTTTGTGAATTTTCTGTTTTAAAACTGAGAAACAAAAGATGCCAGTAAGGACTTGGTCATTACCGTAGAACTTGAGAGGCAAACAGGGTTTTTTTATTAATTGAAAGGATTTCCAGACACCATTCCCATATAATTTTTACAACCAACCCATCTGTACAGACACCAAGACTTTGTAAAATAAATTATTTGAAATGTAACATAACATGCTATTTCTTCCTCTTTCACCAGACTTTCAAGAAGCAGTAAGCCTGCATTCAAAAGCAGTTACTCAAGCCATACAGGAGTACCTCTTTCTGTCCTGTCTCTTTTTCAGTTGCCTCCAGGCACTCTTAGCTATTATCTGAATACAACAGCCCAAAGAAGTTTAACCCTTTTTGCCAGGCACAGAAGAAAAACTGGAAAATCATCTGTTATTGGCAGAAAATTGAAGAAAAATAACTCTGTTCTACATTGTTTGCACTTAAATTGAAGAAATATCACAGCAAAGTCACTCCAAGTCACACAAACACTGCAATGCAGAGACCACTGGAGACCTCCAGACCCAGCTCCTGCTTAGGTTACAGTTCTGCTCACACCAGAGCAGCACAGTCACAGGAGGGTTGGCATTGTCTAGACAATGCTCAAAGCCCCTCACAGATAGAAACTCCACAGTGCCTTGGGACAGCTTGCTCTGTTGCTGAACCACTTCTCTAGGTAAGGTGTTTATTCCCAGTGTTAAATTTGTTCCTCACAAGCTGCAATTTTTAGCCATAATTATTTTGTTGTCTTTGTGAGGCTTGTTTGTTTATTTTTTTGGGGTTTTTTTTGGGGAAGGGGTGTTTGTTTTTGAGTTTTGGGGATTTTGTTGTTGTTGCTTTGAGGGTTGTTTTGGTTTTTTGTTTGTTTGAGTTTTGTTTGTTTGTGGTTTGTGTTTGTTTGTGGTTTTTGTTTTCAGGATTTGTTCTGGTGTTACACTCTGTACCTTCTAACAGGAAGAGTTTAACCACTGTCCATCCCTTGTAACTTCTCTTCAGGCAATTGGAGGCCTTTTTTGACTGCTTCACATGATTCTCTTCCTCAACCAAAACAAGCCCAGACTCCTCGCTGTCCATCACGACCTGCTACCAGCTAACTGAGCCTCCAAGCCTGGCCATCCAGCCCATTTTCAGCCTAACTAAGCAAGCAGTCTGTTCTTCCCAAACTTTTGCCTCAAGTCACACAAAAAATGTTTTTGAAGCTCATAGGGTTTGCTTTCACCATCTACTTTTCCAGTACTAGGAAAAAGAAAATTTAATACTGACTTGCTGTATTTCCTAAGAGAGCTTCCCTAAGCAGTACAGTCTGCAGCTTTTCTGGGACACAATTCTTGAGATAGATCTTCTGTGGATTTTCCATTTTCAGTTGCTTCTATGATACAGCTACCTATTTTAAGTCTTGATATGATTCTTCAAGTATTAGCAAGAAATTAGAGAGATGAGCACTACCCATAGTGCACACACAATATACACAAACACGTAAGATAAATATTACATTTTGTTTACATTACTCCTCCCTCTGACACATACTTAACTCACACACTTGGAAAGACATGTGAAAAAATTCTAATTCACAAAAGCTCAAGATGAATGTATAGAAGAACTGTATTTGTTGGGGTTTTTTTTTTCATTCCTACAATTTAAGCTATTCCTTTTTACTTCAGTTACTGTTTTGGGTTCAAGCTTGTACTGTTACCTTAGGCATGAATATTACACACTATTTGACTGCAGCCTAAAGGTCTTTCTGCCTTTCACATTATGTTTAAGACTGAACACAGAGGAAGTGAGTAGAGAAGAAAAAGTTTTCTAATAGATCTTCAGGAACCCTGAGTTTTGGCAGCTGGCCCAACAGGGTAGGACAAAAAGAAGGAAAAGAAAGGGAGGACAGAGGGGTGGAAGGGGGAAGACATCAATGGGCGACAGCATGGAACTGCAGTAACAAATTTAATAAAGTTTCCACACATCTATGTGACAATGTCCTGCAGAAGATGATTATGACTAATCAGAAAGTAACAAACTTTTTATTCGGTTCCAAATTGCATCAAGAAACAAAAATGAATTTGTATTTTCACTTTACAAGCTCATACTTTATAACCTTCAAGTATTCTGCCAGC